CAGATGCTGCATACCGAGGGAGAGGACGAGGACGGGGTCGTGGTTATTAGATTCATAGTTGCATATTTCATATTTGCTTATATGTTTTAGTATGCGTACTTTTCATTTGTTTTGTATTATCTGTGCCTGAACTTTCATTACATGTGTTCGTCATTATCTATTAATTCAAGATTTTTGTTCATTATCATGCTTGTGTGTGAAGTTTGGTAATTAACTATCACCTATTGTCTGTACTCTGTTATTTGATGCGTTCCTCTTCTCTTTTTGATGGTGTCAAAGGGGGAGAAGACAATGTAGCAAGCAAACACCAAAGCCAAGTCAGGATATTAACAATTCAGGATATTAACAACATTTGATGGCTGTTGTTCTACAACCTTATAGTGCAAAAGAAAGGGGGAGCTTGTGTATACTTGTGTGTATACGTTGCATATTTTGTGTTTTAACTGTATACGGGTTGTCATCATCAAAAAGGGGGAGATTGTGGAGGCAAATCGCCACATATCACACAAATTTGCAAGACATTGGTAAATGCAGGTTTCGATGATGACAAATTCCCAGGATAGACTAGAAAGTATGAGTTCCAGATCCACTAAACCAGATGCAACATATCACCCATCATATTCTCCTTTTGCTTGTCTTAAATTTTCTAAAATGAATATACTTTGAGTTGACAAAATGCAATCATGACTAAAGGCATGAAAAACTTCAAACTAATGAAATTTTGCAGGCTTGCAGGACATGGGTCGACCATAGGGTCGGCGTATCCATCAGAAAAAGGGAAAATCAGTCAGCGCACAAAGCATGCGTCGACCATAGGGTCAGCGCATGAAGGAATGATATTCCAGCGGGTCAACGCATAAAAGCATTGGTCGACCATAGGGTCGGCGCACAAAGGAAACGAATTTCAACGGGTCAGCGCACGCCGACTATATGGTCGACGCACACTGATGAAACTTCCAGAAATTCAAAACATCACAGGCTATGCGTCGACGCACAGACCTGTTATGGTCGACCGTTCGCGCGGAAAAACTGTTTTAAATTTGTTCCCTCTCATATTTGAAATACTGTTATGTCCTGAATTTTGTTGGCACTATATATACTTGCTTAAACACTTGTGTCTACTAACATTTGATATTCTTTTGATTCATGTGTTCAAAAACAAGAAAGAGTGAAATAGGTGTCCAAGATTCATCATCTTCATCTTCAACATCTCACAACATTTCAATTACACACAATCATTTTTTGAAATGCATTTGTGAGAGATTCAAGGTGATAAGGTTCGAGGCTCAGATTGGAGAATCAAGCTCGGGTTGAAGATTGCGACAGGTTATTTCTTGAATAAAACCATTGGGGTTTTGCCCTCCAAGATTGGTTCGAATTTTGGGGGTTTTTGGAAGAGATTCTTCATCAACGATCAATCGAGCGAAGGTGATTGTGAAAAGGTGGTCTTCACAAGTCTAGTAGCGGTTTCGGTGATTTTGAAGGGAAGATCTCGGGTTCGATTTGGTGCTGTTGAGATCAGCCGGAGCCAAAGGTTTGAACAACAACGTGTTCTTCAATAAGGTGGCTGGAGTCGGAGGTCCATCAACACAAATCGAAGAACTTGATTCATCTTGAATCAAGGGGCAAGGAGTGAAGGCAACTTTCAACACATTGAGATTTTTGTTGTAATTTTGCTGCTCAATCCTTGTATAAACTATTCATTCAAACAGGTGATATCTATTCAATATATCTCAATTCTAGTTTTAGAATTGAGGGCAGACGTACCTCGAAGCGAGGACGACGGGGGAACTGCCTCACCAAATTATTTGTCTTCTTTATTTTCAGCATTTTCGTTATAGCTCAAATAAGTAATTTTTGTGTAAGCTCTATTGTCAAAATTGTGATATCAATTGAGTAAGAGATTAAAAATTTGTTTTTAACTCTAACGTACAACAAAACATTGTACTAGGCTGATTGAAATCACTTACTCAACATAAACATCACTTGGAGTGTCTTTGCACACCAAGTGTTTGACATATTGCTTGAACCAAAATTATCTTACTTGTGTATCTAGTTTTGGTTTGATTTTGAATCATTGGAACTAGGTAACCTTACAACTGAAGTAAATAATTGATAAGCATAGTTTGTGTTGTGATTCTATTTTTCCGAATTGTCATAAATCCATAGGCTTACGTATATCCGGTTTTCCAATAACCGTTCGTTTTAGACTATAATTTTCCTCGGCCGCTTCCGCACTTAAAACATTTTTAAAACCAATTTTAAATTGGTAGCGCCAACTCAAATTTTAATTGGGGATCTATTCAACCCCCCCTTCTAGATCCGTGCCATAGTCTAACAATAACTTTGGCGCCCAAGTTGGTACGAGCTCAGTGCATGGATTTTTTAAATCGCGGATATGAGGATGGATACTATAGTACACTGCCCAAACCCTGCCAATTGCCACCCCTAGTTCTCACAAGTTTAGTATTTCCCAAATCAAGAAATTAATAGTGCAGAGAGAGTGAAAAGAATATATCCAGAGAGTGTATGTTAAGCTATGATCCATTAATATGTATGAAGTAATTATGTGTCTATGATGTGAAGTGTCGTGCCAGAAAAGATCACTGAGTGATATAGGAGTGTATTTCTACAACATTAAAAGCATGCAAATAAGGGCAAGAGAATAAATCTCTTAGTCTCACTTATAACCTTAGTGTACATCTGTTTATCTCCTGAAATTCCTTTATAGTTGTAGTATCTTATCTCTGAGCAAACTAAATGAGTGAATATCTCTATCCTACTTGTGCAACTACTTTTATTATGAAATTCACTTGTTGTTGGATCTCTCACAACAACAAACTTTTATCTTTTCTAAGTTGATCGTTCAAAGAATTAGATTTAAACATGTTAGTGAATAATAAAATAAGGACTAAATAACACATCATTTTAACATAAAAGTAACTTCATATTAACTTCTCATTGCTCAACAAACAAAAGGTTTAAGTCATGATGATTTGAGTACAACTTACAAAACTGGTTCTGAAAGGAAACATTTTCAAACAAAAGATGAAAAAGAAATAGCAACCTAAGAGCGATGTGCAACTTCCTTGTGGTGGATAACTAGCAAGTGATGACTCCACTCGCGCCATACTTCAGTAGTAGTACTAGAATATGTGAAAAGATTAAACTCTCCATTCTCTCCATTCTATCTTACACTAGTATTCTCAGTGATTTTTCTCTAAGGTGTTGAACTCTCTCCAGCAAACTTCAATATGGTCTATATATAAGCCTTCAAGTAGGGTTTTTATCTCTATTGTCTTGGATCATGGGTCTTTTTAGGATCACATTCGGCCTAAATGTAAAATCAGAATATTCCCCTCCTTCCTTTAGCTTTGTCTACAAGAAATCAGGTACAGGGACAATAGTGCGGGACAATGTGTAGTGTGACAGTCTACTGTGGCAGGAGACACAGGCGACACTGTCCTTTCTGCATGGCACACTCTATTGAGGATGTACTATTGTACCTTTTTTTGTCTTTTAGCGTCATGAGTCTTACTCACTCAACTAACGGAAACTCTACCGACACACAAACAAATATTCCTTCCCAATGTAGCGCCTTGTCCACGTATGCCCTAAGGATTCAACTGGTTTTTCACTTCAATCCTTAACTGAGTTCATTTTTGTTCCAGCTTGAACTCCTAAGTTCTGTCCTAAACTATCTTGCCTCAGCTCATCAAAACATTACTTAAAAAAAAAAAAAAAAAACATATCAAAACTATAAAAGAGAGCACATATTATGCTTTAACCTAAATATTACAGAAACAACTATAATTCATTAAAACATAAATACAATAATAAATCTACTACCATTACATAAGAAATCAGAGTGTATAATAACTCAATAAATGTGAGTTATCAGCAACCCTCACGTACTGTGATAGAAAGAATCTTCTCATTTTTTGACTTTCTCGCTTTCTCTGTTTGAGTGAGCAATTCTCACATGAGAAAAATTAAAATTCCAAAATTAACTAGTTCTTAAGAGTTATTTCTAGCATTTTGCAATTCTCAAATTCAAACTTTATTTCTTAAGATTTTTCACGTGACATACACCCCATAGTAAGGGAGTCATTTTCTTGAAGTGCTTCATTTTTATATTTTTATATTGATGATATTAAAAATTATTAATTTTAAATAAATGACAAATACGCCATGTATTTAATTTATATTCATAATATATAAAATTATTAAGTTAAAAAAATTTATGATAATTATTCGTATTGTGATTAGTAAGATTGATAAACAAAAAATGTTTAAAAAATTAAAAATATAAGATAAAAATTCTAACCAAAATAATTTATCCCCTGCCTGAATATTTTGGAGCGACTACCAAAAGTTAAAGACTCTAACTACAATGGATTAATTAAAAACAAAAATAATTATGATTTTCACTCATATAAAACAAATAAAGTTTGGTTCTAATTCCTATAAGTACTTTACTAGGTTTTGGTCTCTTAAAAATATTATATTTTATCACTATCAATATGATGTTTTCGTTAACCTTGTGTGTTTAACGAAAGGTCATCTAATCATCTTTTTAACCCAAGGGACATAAAATCAATAACTCCAATTTCTTAGTATTAAAAATAAATAAATAAACATAACAATAAATCTATTAAAAATATTTAATTCATTCTAAACCACCACTTAAAATTAAAATAATAAAAAATAAAAAATATCAGAATTTAATTATATAGATAGTTGACTTCACCTTTTCTTAATCTATCAATGACAAAACTCCACTAGAATGTGGAAACCACTTAAAAATAACAAAATGCACCCACTCCCAATTAATTCCAATCTAATCTTAGAGATTCCCATTTGAGTTTAAAAAAGTCTTAAACTACTCTTTCATTTCACCAAAACCCTTTGAACATGTCTCACATAAATTTTCCAATCTAAACCTTATACATATATAAATATACACATAACATAAATATACACACCCTCAATTTATAACCATGACAAACCCTTCAAACTTTCTCCATAAACCTTCTCCCATAATTGAACAAAGACAAGAGAACAAAACCATGATGTGCTTAGATAAGCAACTACAAAGACAATTATCCAATAATATTTCTAATGAAGATTACCATGGAAACAAATTTGCTTCTATTCCTTTTGTGTGGGAATCTCAACCAGGTACACCTAAACATAGATCCAATGCTAATTCTCTTCCTCCTCTTACTCCTCCACCATCTTATTTCCAAAATGCTAACAAAAAACCAATCAAACCTAAAAAGAACTTTTTCTTGCAAACATTTTTCCCCAAACGTAGTACTAAAAAAGGTTGTGTTCTTGATCCGTCTTCCGCATCGTCGAATTTTGTTTCTTATTCTTCGTCGTCTTCCTCGTCGTCTTTGTCATTGTCCTCGCCACGGCCGACTTCATATTCAGTGCCGTCTTCGCCGATGATATGCTCGAAAAAGGGGGGAGATGATGAAGATTTGTATGATGTTTCTAGATCTAATGTTGGTTTAGGTAATGTAAAATCACAAGGGCGTTATTCTTCCATGTTCAAAAAGGTATTGTTTGGAGATTTAATGTAATGTAAGGTTATGGTTTCATATTTTAATTAAGTGTTGCTAGCTAGGAAAGATTGTATATGTCAAATTTTTATTAGTCCGTATCACATATATCAATTTGGTTAAATATATATATATTTTTATTTTATAATTTTATGTATCAAACTAAAATCAACCTTCTATATTGTGATTGCAGAGAAGCTATAATACTTCAATATAGATCTCTAAAAAGGTAATTTAATAAATGTTGATAAAACATTATACTTTTTTGCTAGTTTTTAAAATATATATAATTATTTTTAAAATAACGAGAGTTCTTCTTAGGATTTTTTTATGGAATTAATATTAAAATGCACCATATTTTTACATTGTTTATCTTATAAGAATTGTTTTACTATTTATTAGTCATTTTAAAGTTCAAGGTTATATAAATAATTTTGTGTTAATTATACTCTTAATTGGCTCAATGTGAATTTGAACTGTGATTACTATTAATTATGAAGAAAATAAGATTATTGAATTTTTTAATTAGCACAGAAAAATGTTAAATTAAAGAGAGAAATAGAATTGATCCTTTCCGGCGTACTATTCATTCTAGTTTCCTTTCTTATATGTGATTCACCACTTCAACGAAACTAATTAATGCCACTATTAAAAACATCTCTAAAGTAGCAATTCTACCCATATTTTTAATTCTTTTTCATTGTATTTGTTGAACTCTAACTTTCTGGGACTACTAAAAAAAGTCCTGGTAATATATATATATATATATATATATATATATATATATATATATATATATATATATATATATATATATATATATATATATATATATATATATATATATATATATATAATTTATTAGATATTAAATTCTAGATCAATAATTTATACTTATTTAACACAACTAAAAAATATTAGTTGAGTTATCTCATCTATTTCATATGTAGAATTTTCTTTTCATATAATCAAGTTTTTCAAATTTAATAATCAAATAACCAACATTTCAAAAATTATCTACTAAATACTCATGTTTTAAATTAAAAATATTCACACGTAAGAGGATGCACCATTACTACTAACGCATACATTAGGGGTGAAAATAGGCTGGGACAAGTTAGGCCTTGTCGAACCTAAGTTTGACTTGTCAAAAAAGCGGAAGGGAAATCTGACCTATAGCCTGTCATAGATTTATTTTTAGGTCTGAGGCTGATATTTTCTAATGTCTGATTAGCCTGTTAGCCTACATAAAAGTCTATTCTTTTAGATATATGTAAATAAACAATTAAAATAAGGTTTAATTATAATAACAAACTAAAAAACCAATGAGACTAAAAGTTTGTTTATATTGACTTATTTTAACTTATTTATTAGTATAAGTTTTGTGAGACTATTTGCTTAAGATAACTTATGAAAACAACTTATAACATCATTTGTAAGATGTTTTTATCTTATTTTAATAAGTTTTCTAAGATAACCAATTTTTATTTATGTATTTTAATTCAAAGTACAAAATATAACATAATAATGACAAAAAAAAAAATTATTCATATTTATTTAAATAGGTCGGCTTGTTAGGCTTAAAATACTTTTTTCATAGCCTGAGGCCTAGCCTTTTTTTAACTAAATAGGCTTTTAAAAAAGTCTATACCTTTTCTATTTAAAAACAATTTTGGTCTAGCCTGAGCCTGTGTAGGCTAGGACGTGGACCCCTGTTATCGGCTTGGCCTATTTTCACTCTTAGTAGACACTCAAAAATGACTTCAGACGGCAATGCCCATTGGCGCATGCATTATGAACATGTTAACTCCAATGGCGTGTGGATTGTTTTTCTTAGAGCATGCGCCACTCATTCTGGCACAACGTGCAATGTATTTTATTTTATTTTTTAAATTAAAATTTTAATTAATTAAATGTAAAAAATACTAATATTATTAAATTTAAATAGAATTACAAGGCAAAAAATTTGTACATTTTTTTTAACAATATGCTTGATCATAATGACCACTGATTTCACAATCTAGCGGCACCCTCTGCCGTTGAGGCTGCACACAATTCCCTATAAGTGGTTGTTGTCTTCCAGGATTCACCTGAGGTGTTTGGTGCCTCCCTGGATTCACTTGAAGTGTATGGAGCGAGGTCTTTATAACATTAGTGTCATCAGTCATATCTAGCATCTCTTACCAATTACATGCACTGTCGTAATCAAGTTTGGTGTCCATGTTGTCATAGTTGGGTCGTGTTGGTTATGTTAGTGGTGGTTGGGATGGTTGATTGGAAACGAAGCAATGATTGTTGTGATATTTGATAGGCATGTGTTGGTTGGGTGCTTTGGCGGTATGATGTTAGGGTGCATTGGTGGTGTTATGTTTGGGTGTACATTGGTTGGGTTTTATGATAGAATGCGGTGGTATCATATGTCTCATTGGTGCTATAGTAAGATGGGGTGGTGACATATGTTTGTTGGTGGTACAGTTCATTTTCTTGGTTTTGTGTTTGTATGTGTTGCATGAATTGGTCTCTAGTTTGGGTGTATGTGGGTTGGTAATCATGTTCGGTTGGTTATTGGGTGTATATGGTTTGGTATTGTTGTAGGGTTGGTTTTTGGGTTTGGGTGGATTGACAATATTGTAGGATTTGATAATGTTGTGAGTTTGGTTGTTCAACGTATGATGATGAAGCTCATAGGTGTGGGTCGATCAAATACGTCAGATCAGACATAAATTATGTTGTTGTAACCGATCTATACCAATTCATATGATTTTGAGTTGGTTTAGATTCATCTAGCATGATAGGTTCATTTATGGCCCATTAACGTCGGTGATTCCATTGACAACACACATCCCTAACGAAGTCTCTCCGATCGATAAAACTTTATCGGGCATCGACTCTAAGTTGATTCCATTGTTGCAAACACATCGGGGGATCTGGGATTTGTTGTTGCATGTTGAACTGCAATTTGACATTATCATTATGAAGCATCTTCACAGTAGTGAATCTGATGATCACTGCTTTTGCAATCCAAACTTCAGCATCCTTGGGGTTAATCTCATGGTTGAGACCTATATATGGCCTCCAGATATACTTTAGAGGAAAAACATATTATTAGATTAGAAAATATGTAATATTAAAACTAAATTAACGAGATGATGAGTAGTTTAGTTATAATACATCGTCTGGTCCAAGGTGATCGAGAAGATTTTGATACACCGGTATAGTGTGTTTAGGACATTTGTTGTAGTTCATCCCTCGAACAGACCGCTTAAACTGAAAATAGTGAAAATGAATTATTTACAACTATTTATAGTATAAAGTAAGTAAGTGGAAATAATGAGATAAACTTAATTTTTCGCGTAGGGGAATGTGAAGTCTTTCTCGTTGACAGGGGCTAGTGAAGGCTTACTTTTTGGAGCAATAAAACGCAAGAATAAAACAAACAAGTACCCTGATATGCATTTTTACTCAAAGAACTATATAGATGGGACAAAATGGTTGAACCCTAACTATATGTTCCTATTTTAGTTATGTCTCTTGACAAACAAAGGTAAATACATAATATTTATGTATTACCAGTAGTTTCAGAAAAATAAAAGTTATCAAATAATATCCGAATATAACACCTAGTTTTAATTATCCTTTCATTCTTGATCGAATCTTCGTTTAATATCATGTATGTATAATATTTTTTTAAGGTACTTTAGATTAATACATTGGCCCCTTGCCGTTTCTTCAAACAAATCCGCACCCAAAAGTTGCTTGCATATTGTGTTTTCTTTGTTAACTCGACCATTAATAGCCTTATGTTTGATATATAGACACAACAATATATACACGTCCTCTAGTATGACGATACATTTGCCAGTAGGAAGATGAAATGTGTGTATCTCAGGTCTTCATCTTTCTACCAATGCGAGGATAAATTTGCAAACAACAGAGAAATAGACTATCTTGAGTAGATTACCAAAACCAGTAACTCGTAAATACGATTGTATCAACCAGTCGTGTGAGACATATTCATCATGTGTTGGAGTAAGCCCTAATAGTAAATTAGTATTGGTTGTATATGCTTTTGTATCATGACCTTGATATATATTGTTTATTATATATACTTATTAGGCATTGTATTTATTGTGTTACGTGTATATGACATAATAGAGTCCTTGGAATAATTAGCCTGTTTAATGATATATTAAATATGACTTAATTGTGAGACTTCATTAAACATAAAGACGTTATTCTTAAAGTATCTGTAGTTAATATTTACTGTCAAATAGAACAATAGTAATGCATAAAGACTATTATGTGAGTAAAATGATGACTCTATCTCACAAGTCAAGGATATGAGATATCAAGTCTTCACATTGGTATAAATATTATGAGTAATATTTATACTAGATTGACCCACCATGAGAATACTACATAGTTTATTATGAAAGTGTTATAAGTTATTCTCATAGTGATAGTAATGTATATCACCCTTCGACCTGAAATCACTATGGACACTGAATGTGGAGTCAAATACTTTATTGCTAATCAAATGTTCTCCATAACAGGATGACCATAAAGATGGTTTATGGATACTTTACAAATCATGCTAAGGGACATGAGTGACCTAGATGAGATTTGTCCCTCCTACATATACGAGAGTAATATTAGTGGGCCCTTTGATAGAGTATGATGGTAAAATGCATGGTCATGCTCAAATAAGTCGATATGAGATATTGGGCTTACTTGTTGTTATCAAGTATACTCAGTGATCAAGGAATAAATTATTGGACTATACAAGGGTGACATATTCTATGCCTTGTGTTCAATATAGATATAAGGGCAAAAGGATAATTGTACACATGATCATTATCATAGAAAGGTTATGTCAGATCACATGACATTCTTGTTAGTTGCATAATAGTGATGTGTTGTTAGATATCTCTCATTGTTTATAATATTAAACGCATGATTCAATATTATTGCCAACGTAAAAGAACCTAAAGGTCACACGCATAGATTACTGACAATAGAAC